AATTTACTTAAATTTAGGGCAGCAACTGAACTTAAGTTTTTAAGTTGAAATCGGTGGAATAATGGAAAAACAAACTTTTTCAGCACTCTGTCCCAAACCCTGACAGAACCCCAGAAAGAACATGTCTGGGTCATATTTCACATCTTTTTTTTTTCTTAATTCAAGGATTCATTACTTTTTTTATCCATGGTCCACTTATAAAAAATAGATAATATAATAGATAATATCACACCTATATTTTGTGCACCCTGTTGTTCAGTTTACTTGTATTTGCCTTTAAGTCCCATACATTACATTTTTACAATGTCTGCTATCTGAATTCATGAGTCTTGAGCTCAAAATAATGAATAGAAAATGTTAAAGTCATTTATCTATGTTTAATTATTATTATTATTTATTAATTCTTTTTTTACAATGTAAATACCTCAGATTGAGGATAAATTAGATACATTTCCTATTAATTTTTTCTATATTTGATCTCCGAAGACCTATTGTCAAGGAGTATATTAATTGCCCATCAACTATGTTATGGTTTCCAATATTTGTATGATTTTAATTCAAATAAATATTTCAATCTGAGGTTAACCTGATTCACTTTTGGTTGGCCGGACAAGGTCTGCCATTGAAATTATGAGACAAAATGGTGAAACTGTCAACTCTGTTCTGATAAAACATATAAACTGAAACCAATAGTTGTTCTTTTTACATATTAAAAGTTTGTTTTATAGCAAATGCAGATAACTCCACATTTCATGTTTTAGAGTTAAAAAAAACCCTCGTTTCTTTGACGAAACTCCTCTCAGCTAGCACGTCTTTTCAAAGTGAAAGTAGCCTTGTCACCTGACCTGAATACAGCGCGCTGATTCGCTAAAATGGACTTATCGGCTTCTGTTCAAAAACAACAAGGGCGCTTGTCGGCTTCTGCAGTAAAACGTGAATTCGCGATGCCTTGAAAGTGGACAAAACCGGCTTTTTTGACAAAACGTGTTTAGGGTTCAGATCGTGCTATATGTGGACAATAATGCACGGCAATCAGCTCTTTTTTTTTTTTAAGTGCCGTTTATCGGTTTTTGCAAATTAACTCTTCATATATTGTTTTTACACTTTTTCCTGGTGTGAAATGCACCCTAAATTATAGTGTGACTCTAATATAGCGATAACAAATAATAAAGTAATCAATTATGGATAAGTACAAGCAACTAATGCTAAATCGAAATAATTACATGTTGTTCATAAATATTACTCAGTTCAATATAAATACAATTTATAAATATCAGAAATAAATAAATCTGATAAATATAAGATATAAATATCAAATTACTTTTTAAAAATTGGACAAAATCTGCTGTAATTATACTAATGTAGGCATTATTTTTAGAAACGGCTGAAGTGAAATATCACAGTATTTTGTAAGCGTGTCATCACCTCTTTCTCGCAGTTGGAGTTGAGGGTCAGTAAGGCCATGGGACTGTTGGGGGCGCTGTTGCCCGGCCCCGGAGGCATTCCCCCGTGGTCAAGGGCCTGGCTGGGACACGGCAAGCTCACAGCCTGCGAGCCCAGCTTTCCTCCCAGCGTGGTGGACAGATACGCCTTCACCTGCTGCCTCTGAGCCTGCTGGATGTGATACTTCGTGGGGTTTTCAAGATGCGTTTGAACCTTCAGCCAGACAGACAGAGAGAGAGAGAGACTCACAGACAGGAAATAATCACACATCACACATGATGAGGAAGTAGATTGTAACACATTTAAGAACTTAAGAACTATTTAATTCCTTTTTAATTAACTAATCTAGAACTACAAAACTACTGTTGCTGTTTTTTGTTTTTTTCCTGTGGTTGTTACATTATATTTGTGAAATAAAATAGACACTGAAC